CCCCCTCGGTACTGTGGCGTGAATGAGTGAGCTCTCATGGACCTGGTTGTTTAAAAGTGTGTGGCCCCTTCCCCCTCTCTTGCTCCTGCTCCAGTCGTGGAAGACATACCTGCTTCCCCTTCCGCCATGACTGGACATTTCCTGAGGCTTCCCCAGAGGCTGAACAGATGCCAGCCTCATGCTTCCTATACAGCCTGGGGAACGTGAGCCAATTAAACCGCTTTTCTTTATCAATTGCCGAGTCTCAGGTATTTCTTTATAGCAGTGTGAGAATGGACTTGTACGGAATATCTGTCATTTCTTCTTGCCTTTCTAACGAGGCATGAGGGCCTCTGGGTTTGGCTGGCTGAAGCTCTCCGGTTTCGTGCGGCACACCTGGTGCCTCCTGCCACGTTGCTGCCAGCTGGGACCAAGTCAGAGAGGTGCCGCCTAGAGAGCTGCCCACTGTGGCGCTTCATCCGTTCCCTCTTCAGCAGCCCTTCCCACCTGGAGCTTGCAGGACAATCCGTGATGTTCATCCTTGAGATTATTTTTTATTTCTGCTGTATGCTCCTGTATGCACCTGGCCTAACATCTCTTGGAAATGTCTTTTTGTATTTCTAGTGATTGCTCGAACAGCATCTCATCAGCTTCGTGGCTGTGCACGCAGCCATTACTTGTAGAACTGTCCTGGTACCTTTTATCCTTAGTCCCCCAGTAATTCACTAGCCAGACAGCACAGTGCCAGTTCCTGTTCTGATACCGTTTGATGACTTCCTTCTGGTCATGATACTCACCTTGGACCTGTGTGTACCACCTTCGTCTCTGGAGAAGACTCGCATGATTGATTCTAGGAAAGAAGAGAGCCTCCGATTGGCCGGAATGTGGTTGTAAGGGCTGGCCACCTTCGCTGGTATCATTAGTTGGTTGTGCCCACCCGGAGAGTCCAGGCGGCACCATCCCTGACCTTCTGCCTTCCCACTGGCACAGATGTCTTTTGGGTAGAGTGTGGACCTCACAGGAAGGCCCTGGGGTTGTGGGGTACTGGGTGCAGTGGCTCCTCGTGTGTTGGTGAGGTATGCAGCTGTTCTTGGTTCTGTGGCAGAGACTCTGGTGTCTCTCAGTACCCACCCTCCCTTTCTTCTCTAACAATAGAGCTGCCGTTTCCACCTGGACACATGGGTACCTGTGGAGGACTGCACATCCCGGCCTTGCTTGCAGCTGCTGTGGCCATGAGCCCCAGGGGCTCTGAGGCAGAAATGCTGTGTGCAGCATCTGGGGAGAACCCTTAAGGAGCCATTCTGAGTTCTGGTGCCAGGTGAGAAGGCCCGAGAAGCAGCTAGGCAGGGGGTGGACTGTGGTCTCCCCAGCAGGAGTAGGAAGAGGGAGGCGGTGGCAGAGGCTACCAACAGCCTCTGGGAGGCTGAGAGCCGCAGCTCCAGCCTGGCCTCCTGCGTCTTTAGGGAGGTGGATTTGTCAAGGTGGCGAGGAGCCCATATTTCTGTACAACACTTTTGGAGCTTGATCTGTGTCTACGTACTTGGGCATATGGCTGTCTCCGCTTGAACCCTTGCCCCAGGCCCTGCGAATATCTGTGGTGGGCTCGGTAGATGTGTGTCACCCACGCAGGCATTAGCTTTGCCATCCTCTGTCATTTTGTCATATATTTAACTGCCCATTACTGGGAGTTGTTTACTTTCCGAAGCGGCTTTATTAATAACTTCAACATTATAACACATTAGTCTGAGGCCCCAAGTACCCATTAGGGATTCAGTGTGACTTCAAAGAGCAACTGAATCCAGACTGAAATTAAGAGTATGTCAGGGACATACAACTCCCTAAAACTGCACCCAAAAAGTTTAAGTGGAACCACTTCCTGGGTCCTCCTACGCTGCATTATGACGTGCGCTTCCTGAGAATCTGATGTAAAAGACAATATGTGTTGAAATTATAGCACAATTTAGTTGCAAACCTGAGTTTCCATTTTTTGTACACTCAGATATCAGACAAAAACTTTTAAGCAGCATAAGAAACTGAGAACACGGCAGCATTTTAGTTTTTGTGCATAAATCCCAAGACTTGCATGAATTACAATGCCACACTTCTTTTTTCCCACATTTTCATATGAATTTATTTTCCATCACTATCAGAGAAATAAAATGTTATTGCATTTGAAATCAAATCAACAAAACAGTTTAATTGGCCAGGGAGTTCCTTTTAAATAGAAATTTTAAGTGCATTTAAAAATAAAACTTCAAGTCTCATATATTATTCAAGTCTCATATATATAGTATAAGTATATATATATTAAAGTCTCATATATATAGTACCATATAATATTACCATCCTTGGCTGGGTGCAGTGGTTCATGCCTATAATCCCAGCACTTTGGGGGGCCAAGACGGGCAGATCACCTGAGGTAAGGAGTTTGAGACCAGCCTTGCCAACATGGTGGAATACCGTCTCTACTAAAAATTCAAAAAAGCCGGGCATGGTGGCAGGCACCTGCAATCCCAGCTACTTGCGAGGCTGAGGCAGGAGAATCACTTGAACCTAGGAGGTGGAGGTCGCAGTGAGCCGAGACTGTGCCATTGCACTCCAGCCTGGGCGACAGGGTGAGACTCTGTCTAAAATAATAATAATAATAATAATAATAATAATAATAATACCATCCATAAATTATTGACTAAAAGATCTCGAATCAATGGGGCACTGAGTGGAAACCCTTTTCAATTTGTAATTGTAACCTTTACGTGTTTACTTCTTTCTAAACAAAGGTGTTGGGCCTAGAGACTTGATATAACAGTTGCTTGCTTGTTGTGAATGTGAATGCATTTAAGTATCTCATTTGTGAAAATGGAATGGCAAGAAAGCATCACCGCCTTCAAACCCCCAGTGAAATAATGGGCCCAGTGGCCACGTCAAAGAAGGGTGGGCCCCACCTCTGAGGGGCTTCTGCTAGGGGTGTGAGCCTGAATTGGCCAGTGCTCTAGCCCCACCTGCCTCCTATACTTGTCAGGGGAAAGGGCTAGGGCACAGTGGATGTACAAATGCATAAATGGCTGAATTTCTTCTGCAAATACATTGCAAGAAAACAAAACAAAACAAAACCACAGTAACAACAACAACAACGAAAAAAAACCCAAGACAATCTGAAACAATGGGGAAATCTCAACATGGGCTGAATATGATCATGATATGAAACTGCCTGCTTTGGCAGCGTGATAACATACTGTGTTGTCTAAGAAAAGAGTCTGTATCTTTGAGAGAAATCTACTGAGATATTTACAGATGAAATGATAAGATGTCTGGGATTTGCTGCTGCCTCCTAACAATCCTGTTTGGGGTGAGGAGGGGGTAGACTAAACACATTTGGAAGTGTTTACAGCTGTTGAGGCAGGTTGATGAGCACACAGGGCCTCAACTAGTCCCCCACTTCTGTATGTGTCTGACTTTTTCAGAGACAGAGAGAGGAGAATCTAAAGACCAGAAGATACTATAAATTTATGATGGATAAAGGATTAGCATCCCAAAATAGATAAAGCTTTCTAGTTCACAGCCCCAGTAATGAAACAAATGGGTGGAGAAGACAACCCTGGAACCCTTCATTCCACCCGTTTATTGGGCAGCGGTGATGTCTTCATCTCTTGGGCTAGAGGAGTAGACCAGTTTCCAAATCTCTACTCTGGCATGTGAGACGGACGAACCCAGGGAAGCGCAGTGGGATCTGAGTCTGAGGGTCCTTGGGCCTTGAGCAGAGAAAGCCTCACCCATGAGTGTGGGCTGGCCTCCTGGACTGGTTTCTATGCCCACGGAGATGAGGCTATTTAAAAGACTGGCTGTGTCTCCTGGTGCGTCCTCCACTTGCTCCTAGATCACGTGCCGTGGGGGACGCCGATGGCCAGGCCTCGAGGCGGCCCTGTGGAGAGGCCCGTCAGGCAGGGAAGGTGGCCACCCACAGCCACAGGGATGTGCCTGGAGGCCAACCCCCAGCCTGGTCCCCCTGCAGCTGGGCCCCCAGAGGAACCCTGGCTGAGCATTTGACTAGACCCCCAGGGAAGATGAGACAGGGACTCTGCTGAGATGTACCCGGACTCGGACCTTCAGAAACTCCAAGGTAATAAATATCTGCTATTTGAAGCTGTTAAATTTCGAGGGAATCTATTGCAAGCAATAGATAACTAATATACTATAACCGGTAAACATGCCAATTGAATCAGTAACAATAACAAAATCACTCCAGCCTCAGTCCAAGTACCTCTTCTTATACTGGGGCCGACTGAGCCCCACTTGCCACACGGCTGTGCCTGGCGACCAGCAGGGCCCTCTGTTCCAGAGGCCTCTTTCGGGGGCTCAGGGGCAACCTGGGTGCCTGGGCTGGGTTTCTGGGAAGCAGACTGGGTGGGCTTCGGTGTGCAAGGTGGTTAAGGTGTCCTTGGATTGGCAGCTGTGACAGGGGAGGAGGGAAGGCAATCAGCCTAGGGAGGGGCTCAGGTCCTTCCGGGAAGCCAGCAGGTCTTCAGTTGTCTTAAGTTGGGCCAAGATGGCCTGGTGCTTACACTGCTCTGCACCCAACTGATTAGTCACTGGATGCGGGAGCCTGGGAAGGGGCGCTGCCGAGGGTCAGGAGCTGTGGCTGGTGTTTGGACTCCAGTCTCAGAAGTGTGTTTGCCCGGCTGTGGGCAGGTGGCTAGGCGTGGGTCCTGGGCCTCTCTCTTTGGCCTTGTTCTCTCCAAGATTATTTCCAGCTCACCATGGCTTGGTAAGTGTTTTGGGGGAGAAGATAATGCAAAGATTTAAATTACTGGACATTTAAAATGGAGACACTCCTATGGGACCTGATTATATAGGCAGAGGGGGTCAGGTCTGCCGCTGGTCTGGGCCTAGGGGCCGTCCCCATGGGGTCCAGTGATTCCCAGGCAACCATCTGGATGGGACCCAGGGCACTGGCCATTCGGCCCACAGGGTCCCAGACATGCGAGAGCCAATGAGGAAGAGAGTGCACGGGCAGAAACCAGAGCTGGGAGGGCAAGTAACGCAGTCTTTATTTACACCACAAGAGTAACACATTGCGTGATGTGGTACAGAATACTGGACTCCAGTGAAGTGGAAAGAAGTTGACCGTCAGAAGAGGATATCATTGGTCAGTGAAAATCCACCCACACAAAACAAGACAAGAATGAGAAAACCAAACACAAAACCTCCAACTCCACTGAGCAAAAGAAAGAACCGTCGGGCACGTCCAGACAATCCAAGAGAAACGGATTAAATTACAGAGGCGAATGGTGGCCACGGCCAGTGCGGAGCTCACGCCGGGCGCGAACAGGCATCAAGTAGGTTACAGCGTCGTTACAACTTGGTTTTCTACCACATTCCGTAAGAAGCTCTTGGGTGAGTAAGGTTCAAGCCCCCTTTATAGATAGATAGATAGATAGATAGATAGATAGATAGATAGATAGATAGATTATATATGTTTGTCATTCTCATCAATTGGAAAATAGCGCCTCCACTATGGAGCACACACAGCAAAAAAACCAAACAAACAAAAACTGTTCGCTTTCTTTTTCTTTCAATAGGAGACTTTTAATCAATGCCAGAGACAAAGTGAGGCCGAGCTAAGAACAAGCTCAGCTTCGTTACAATGAAGAAATGGTTTCCTTTCGATGCAAAGTATAATTTTAAACCACAGTGCTCGCACAGTTCACGACTGCTTAAAGTGAAATCTTAGCCATAAATCACCTAAAAGTAATTAAAAAGTCAACACAGCTGTGCGGAAAAGGGGACTCTTTCGAGTCCGCCCAGTTCTCAATCAGAATAAACCGTCACAAGGCCAGTGAGGGCGGGCGGTGCTCGCCTGGCCCGTGGAAGGAGATAAAAGGAGACAAACAAAACAAAACAGAACAAAATTCCTCCAAATCAACTCAAGAGAGAGACAGGCAGTTCACTCTGAATTCTGAGTAGTTTCCCTAAAACACTGTTTCCACATAAATACAATAAACTCTATTATTGGTATGTCACAAGTGCTAGATAAACTTTTTTTCTTAATATGACAAATGTTTAAGTAGTCCTTTTTATTTTTCTTACAATAAAAAGTACAATTTCTTAAGAATAAGTTCAATAAGACGCAAACTTCCCCCCCCTCTCCTTCAAGGTTTTGTTTTACAGAAAATTTCCATCTTTTGTATCTGCAAATGTCATGAGAGGGGAACAAAAAGGCATTTTTCTTCTTCCCCAAAGCTGCCGAGTTTGGCGTGCAAAATCTGTATACAATATAAAGACATGCCGGTCGTACAGTCCATGCAACCTCCAGGTGTAGGAAACTTAAAAAAATATATTCATATATATTTATATCTATATATTTATATATGTATCAATGCCCATAAAACATGTGGGCCCAAAGTCTACAAAAAGAAGAATGGAATGAGCACATGGCTGTGACCAGTAAAGAAGGAATGTTCTGATCAAAAAGAAAAACAACAAAGTCCATTGCTAGTGCTGCAAAAATCAAACTCGCTTTGTGTCAGACCATTACGAAATGGTCCTTCCCCTTGCAAACAGATTTTCAAAAGAAGTAAAGAAAAACTGAAACACCTTGACAAAGTGGCCCTCCAGAACCGAAGCCCTGGGACGCTGGGGAGGGGCGGCCAGTCCCAGCGGGCCACGGCCTCCGGGACAGCCGCCTGCTGGTGGGGCGTGGGCACGTGGGCACGCTGCAGCACGGCAGGAAGCCGCGAGGGCAGGGCAGACGCCAAGAGGCCCAGTGGCGTCATTGGGGTTTCCCTCAAAGGGATATAAAGTGCTCGCTTGCTGACTCCCAGCCAGTGCCCCCAAGGCCTTTGCAAAGGAAGAAAAAGGCTAAAGGTCCAAGGACCCACAGGGAGGGCACACGAAAGAACCCTCCCTGATGGGGTCCTGCCCGCAGATGCCGAGGCAGATCCTCTGCCATCTGCCCAGACACTTGCTGTGGAGAAGGGCCAAGTGCGTCTTCAAAGAAAAGGCTACACAGTAATGCTCTCAGCACATTTGTGAAGCTGGAGTGAGCTGACAGATGAAACGTGCCTCCCCCTGCCAGGTCTTTGCACAGAGGATGTCTCCATTTGAATGAGATTAGAATTTAGTCTCCCCATGGATAACCTAGCCACTAAGCAGTCCATGTTATCCCATCATCTGCTTAAAACAAAAAAAGTGAGATGATGCATTCCTCCCCATAAGCCATGGCGGGGTAAGAGGGCAGGTGGTAGGATCCCCAGAGGGCTGTGCAGAGAATGAGGCCAAGGAGGCCAGAAGAGCCGGCTAGCTGGGCCCTGCCACTGCTCTATGCCATGAATGGGGAATGGACCAGCTCCTCTTGCCAATCTGGGCTTCAGAGCAAAGAGTGGCCACTAGGGAGGGGAAAGTCAAACAAGTCCCAAGACCGTTCTGCCTGCTCTCAAACCACTGTCTCAGAGCTGACTGTCAGCAGCCCAATGACCAAGTGAATTCAAGAATCTGCACTCATTTGGTCAAAAGTTTGAGTTAATTTCAGAAGCTACCCTGTAAACTTTATCAAACTCTGAAACTCGGCTCTGGGTCCCTCCTGAGCACGGTGTGTCTGAACTTCTGCCACAAGTCTGAACCCGATACGCTTTGGAATGAAACTGGTGGCTTCATGTGCTGGAAAATAAGTTACCAGTAAAACGTGACTGTCAGTTACTGTAAGAGAAAAAGAGTAAAGACTGGCTGTCCTGATCAGGAAATCATACCCTCCCTGCAGGTTCACCAGGCAACAAGGGTCCTTGGGCTCCTTGCAGCCACAGGCTCCAAAATCCAGGGCTGGCCATGTGGCTGCAGTGGAAAAACCCAAACGGGTAAAGAGCCCCACGTGTGCCCCATGCATTGCTGACATGCTTAAAAGGTCTTTGGAAAACTGAAGTTAGAATTCTATCCTGACGATGTGGTCAGAAAAGTTTAAACATGAGTTTCATTAATGCTGACTGCCCCCGGCATCTGGCAAGCCTCCCAGGGTGGCCGGGCATCCTAAGCGACCCTCCCTGCCCCTGCCACAGAGGGGAAAAATACACCACCCCTCGTAATACTACTAGTGTTGAAGGTTAAAAAGAGCCCTGGGCTTCTTTATACAGCTCCTAGGACAGACTAGGAAAGACACAATCGTTGGTGTCACTCCAAAAAGACCTACGGTCCCTCCTCTCACTTTCTGAAAATAAACTCTGACGGCAACAATTCCATATGCTGCAGAAAACTCATTGTACAAAAATAAAAACAAATAATTAAAAACCTTTGAAAGTTAAAAAAATGTACAAGCAAGAATTCAGAAAGGAAAAAGATTTAGACATTATTACCATTCAGAAAATCGCTAAATGGTGAGAAAAAATGTAAAATTCATAAAACAATGCTTATTCAGGATCTTTTTGTGAAAAATTCATACAAAAATCAACAGCAAATTTATATTCTTTGCTATAAAAACTCATTAGGTACATATGTGCATGAAGGCTTGGAGACGGGAGGGGTTCTGTTAGAAAATAATTAAAATGAAAGTACAAACTTGTAGGGTAGTTGCCCAGTGGCGAATGTGTTGGCGATCTGAAATCAAGCCAATCTGGAGCTTGAAAATACATGAATTTCAATCAGGATCCCTTTCCATAAGCACCTTGAGAGCCATCCATTCGCAGGGACCTCGGCAATCTGCATTCACTTTATATATATATATACTTTTTCTATAAATGCATTATAAATATTTTATCAAGATTTCATAAGAATCAAGTTTCTTAGCTTGGAATACATTGGAATATATATTATACATATATATATTTATTTATACCTAAAATTTAAGCAATACTTCATGCTACTTGCTTTTAATAAAAAGCATTCCGATCGTAACACTGCAAGTGTGCCTACCACATGCTTCACGACCAGATGGAGATGTTCAATCGTTATGTGACGTGTGAGAAGAGAACACTTTGGATTCGTTTAAAATTTGTTGGACTTCAAAACCTCCAACGGGATTTGCCACTTTTTTGGAACTACCTCCATTTTTCTTAAACAGCGATAAAGCAAAACAGGGACTGCCGGGCTGCAGCCCCTGGCCCCGGAGATGACGGCTGGTGCCCGTGCTTGGGGCGTCAGGCCAGCTCGCGGTGCCAGCACTGCCAGACTCGGCTGGCCACAGGAAACTGTCCCACCAATTCCTGCTGTTTGTTTTTTCTTAAGGCATTGTTCCTCAGACTTCAGAAAACCCAGCCACAAAAATCCACCAGAGCAATAAAAAAAAAGGCACAAACTCGCATCTTCCGATGGCTTTGAGAAACTCAAGCCAGCTCCCCCAGGCTCACATTCCTGTTTCTGTCCAGTTTTGTTTTCTTTAAAGGTCACTCCATCCCCCACCCGGGTGCAGACCCCCCACCGCACACCGCTATGGTTCACAGAGGCAGGCCACAGCCGTAGAAAACGTCCTCTTTAAAAAAAAATAAGCTACAAGATGAGTCGAGTGGTTTACACAGAGACTGTGGAGTTGTGGGTAATAATCAAACTTTAAGCACCAGTTTTAATCAAGTTTGTTTTGTATTATTAGATCTTTGATATTCGTTTTCTGTGCCTCGTGTCAACTGAATTCGGCAGCTCGGCCGCCTGTCGCCACAGGCTTCTTTCCTCCACGGCGCCCCTCGCGGGACCCACCAGAGTGTGCTTGGCTTGCGCGTGTCCGTGTGTCTGCGCGTCGCCGGCGTCTGTCCCGTGTTCCCTGTGAGGCTGCCACGCCCAGGTGTGCATGTGCGTCTTGAGACCTGTGGGCCTGGGTAGCAGAAAGGCTTCCCGTGGCTGTTGTACGCCGGGTGTCCCTGGATGCTCCAAGAGAGCCCCACGGTGGGACGCAGGCGTGACACGGGAAAGTTTCTTGGCTGAGCTTCAAGACAGAGACAGACAGACAAGAGAACAGCAGCTTCGAGGGAGTGCTACAGGGGCGGCTCCTCTTCCATGGGCTCCTCGTCTGGTCTGTGGATCCCGCAAGAGAAAGAGACGGGGGTGTGGGGCAGGTGGACCACAGAGAGGAGAGAACAGAACGTGGGTTAAAGGCTGTGCGCTGCCCCACCCGCCAGCCTACCCAGGAACGGGGGCACCGGGTCCATCTGTTCAGTATCTAACGCTCCTCATGCGTCTCTAAGGGGCTTTGGCACTAGAAGGAGGGGGCCCCGCTGGCCTGTCTCTAGTCTGTTTGGCATGGCACGTGCCATAAATGTTCTGACCCTGAACAGAGTGTCCCTGGACACAGTGGGGCTGGGTGAGCCTGCAGGTGGGCAGCAGGGCAGGTGGCCGGCAGGGCAGGTGCTCACCTCTTTTCGGCGGGCTTCACGCCCACGGACAGCGAGGCCATGGCGGTGACCGTCTCGGCTTCTTCGTTCTCACAGGTCTGAGCCTCGATCAGAGAACGCCCTGCCGTGGAGGTTGCACGCTGCAGGCAGCGCCAGTACTTGCCTGGGGTGGGGTGAGGAAGGTCGCTCAGTGACTACACCTTAGCAGGATGCACGGCGGCCCGGGAGGCTCCTGCGGGACCCTGAGCCTCAAATGAGATTGATCCCTTATGATTTTAAAAGCACCCGTCTTTGAAGAGACGCGAAGCAGAGGACTGCATGGCTACAAACTCGTGAAGACCGAGAATCTCTGGAAATGTTTCCCCATCGTGAGTGGCTCAAGTCCCTCCAGGAGCAGGCCTGCCTAGGACTGCAGACAGAGGCTCCTGTGGGCCCGGCTTTCCACGCTCCTTTCTGCCCTGGGAGCTCAGGAGTGGGGGCTGCCAGCCTGCTGGGTTGAGCCTTCCTATCTCTGGGAGAAGATGAGCTGGTGGATTGTTGCTGGGGCTGAGGGATCTTCTGCCTGGGCCCTCACAGAGGCTGGGGGTGGAGGGTCCTGCATCAGGTACAAGCAGGTGTATGTGGAGGGCTGGGCCTGGCCCAGGGTCAGCTTCAGGGCTCTGAGGCCAGGACTCCCCCACACAGGGAAATGGAGAGTCACGCTCTGGACTACACCTGCCTGTGTAGACAGGCAACCATCTGGGTCATCTCAAAGGCAAGACAAGCTGGGCTTGCGACAATGACAAGGTGTGGGAGGTGCCTCTGAGACACGCTGCGTGCCACGCCCTTGCACCCAGGACCCACTGCTTGAGAGTCGGTGCCAGAACGTGGAGGGCCTACATCCTGCCTCTTTGCAGGGCGAAAGGTTTGATCTAAGGACGTGGGCTTCTCTGGTCCAGGGAAGAGGCCGGAGTCCCCAGGGTACAGGTTCATAGCCATGGCTCCCACTGCTAGCTGGGGACCTAGAGCAAGTGACTTCACACTGAGACTGTCTGGGCCTTGATTCTCTAGACCTACAAAATGGGCTGATGGAACCATCCCAGCAGGCCGGGGAAAATCCAGTGGGAGTTAAATGTGAGTCTCTACCAGCTCAAGAAATGCAGCTGAAAGCAAGGCCTCCTGCTTCAGGCCTGGGGAAGCAGCTGGCAGTGGGATGGAGAGGATCTGGGGGTATAGGGGGAGAGGGATGTGGGGCAGTGGGGTCCCGCCACCAGGAGTGTGTCCCCTGTGAGCACCCGGCCAGGCAACTTACTGTGGATTTCCATGACTTTCTCCATGGAGCGGACAGCGTTTGCATTGGGTCTTTGCTGTAAAACCTTTTCTGGGAGAGGATCAAGCTGGAAGAAAATACGTAAGAATATAAAGACTGCCAATATAATCCACACGTGCATTAGATGGGGTGTACCGAGACTGCAACTGTTTCCTGAGCACAGAGTCCCTTGTGGGGTGCATTTGCCCACAGAGTAGAAAAAAATAACTTTAAAAAGTCAAATGTGCTGTGGTATTTATTATATAACTTGTTTGTAAAAGTGGATTTATGTAGGTATTTTTTTAGGGCACTATAAGGTATATTTGTGGGTTCCTACAAGTAGCAGGAAGAAAGACGGCCCCTAGGAATGGGCTGGCACCAGCACGTGAGCTTGGTATCCACCATCGATGCCACAGGGTTACATTAGGGGGAGGGCTGCTTACTTCATCACTTTCCTTTTCCTTGTCTTTTATTAATAAATAAAAATGTTTGCATATCCCCTGATCTTGGTTTTCTTACAGGGCAGTGGAAGGTGGGGTTGGGGGAGATGAAATGGAAGAAGTAGTCAGATCTCTCAGAGGGAATCCTGCACACCAAGTTTTTCCCTAAGTACTGGCAGCAGATAAAAGCAGGAAAGAAGTTTATAGGTAAATGACGGGGCAATAGGGCAAAGCATTTGCAATACAACAATTAAAAATGGTTGACTGGCCAGGCGCGGTGGCTCATGCCTGTAATCCCAGTACTTTGGGAGGCCAAGGCAGGTGGATCACTTGAGGTCAGGAGTTCCAGACCAGCCTGGGCAACGTGGTGAAACTCCCTCTGTACTAAAAATACAAAACTTAGCCAGGCGTGGCGGTGTGCGCCTGTAGTCCCAGCTACTCGGGAGGCTGAGGCATGAGAATCCCTTGAATCTGGGAGGTGGAGGCTGCAGTGAGCCGAGATTGTGCCACAGCACTCTTATCTGGGCAACAGAGTGAGACCCTGTCTCAAAATAAAAATTTAAAAAAAGGTTGATTGAAATAGATTATAAAAATACAGAAATACAACAGTTCAAGAACATTTAAATAACTGGAAAAGCCCACAAAACCAGGGAAAACCTGCTGGACCTGATCCAGGGGGCCATAGCACCCATGTCCCCAGGTGTCCTGGAGCCAGCCTTGGGCTGTGCAGGCTGGGCCTGGAAAGACCACTGTCAGGAAAGGATGGGTGAGCGAGGACAGACACACAACAACTTGTCCCACAGAGGCCATCGGAAGGAGCGTTTGGGTTTTAACTCTGGCTTCTGGGTAGAGAAGAAAAGACAAAGTGGCCCTGAGAATCTGCCTGGCTCTAGACACTGTGAGTGGACAGCTACTATCGACAGTGTCAGCTCCGCCGGGCCAGGGCGCCAGGCAGCAACCACTGCAGGGCCTCTTTGGAGGCACACATCCCCACAGCGGGCTTCAAATGAGTGCAGCCGGTTCACTTCCAGGACGCATGAGTTCCCAAACACAAAAACCCCAAACAACACAGAAGCGAGCCAGCACGAGCCTGGGTCGGCAGAGACCAGTGAGGTTCCCAATCCCATTCTCCAATGAAGGGAAGTGGGCTCCTTGGACAACGGCTCGGTCCAAGGTTGGGGCAGGGAAAATACAAGGAGAGCCTGGACCACCTTGTGGAGCTGGGAAATCAGGACATGCCTGAAGGTCAAGGGACGGGTCCATCACAGGACACGCAGGGCCAGTCTGAAAGGTGCCCCAGGGCCAGAGCAGGAACCAGCTGAGCAGCCAAATAAACACCTCGGTATTGAAGCATGACCCAAAGTGTAAGATACCCAGGAGTTCACCGGGATAAGAACAAGTAACTAAATACACAGGGAGCAGAGACAAATCCTTGACATTTCAAGTAACGCACGTACCTACTCCCCTCTCCAGGAGATGGAGCTAAAGGCCTCCCCAACTCTGTCCCCGAGTGTGTGCTGCGCTGAGTGTGACTTTCTTCCAGAGAATACATTTGGAAAGGCAGTAAAAGTGTAACCCAGTGGTGGAAGGACCCGGCAAACATCATTCTCAGCAAATGACCAAGGTCAGTGAGCCATGTTGGCAGCACATCCGACAGGCAAACGGCATTGTGGTTCTGTGATCTTCCTCCCCAAGGCACAGAACCAGGAGAAAAAACTCAAACACAAACTGAGGGAGAGTCTGCAAAACCCCTGGCCAGTGCTCCTTGAAAAGCCATGGAAGACTGAGACAAAAGACACGAAATGACTAAATGTGATGTGTGATCCCGGACAGGCCCCTAGAATAGAAGAGGGGCAGCTGCGGTAAAGCTGGTGACATCGAATACACTTTGGAGTTAATAGTCATGGCCCAGCGCTGGTTTCTAAGTTGTGACGAATGACTCGTATCGAGGTAAGAGGTTCGCAGTAGAAGACGTTTTCCGACGGGGATATGAGGAACTTGTACATAATCTCTACAATGTTTCTGTAAATCTTAAACTACCTAAAAATTAAGTTTATTAAGAATGTTGATTAGATCCTTAAAGACTGCAGTTATTGAAATTATCAGTTATAAATTATAAAAAGTAAATATGCTGAGTATGTATTAAAAATAAATGACATTTCTGTATGATGAAACAACCAGAGATTTATGAACCTAACACGGAAGATTTGAGACCCAAGCAGGGGGGGAAAAAAAAACCAGGAATGCACACCTAGTCATATCAGAGTAAAATTGCAGAACATCAAAAGCAAAAATAAAATTATAAAAGCTGCTAGAGAAAACAGAATCTTCAGAGGGGTAGCCATTAGCCACACACCAACTCCTTAACAGCAATGGAGACAAGCAGACAGTGGCTTAAGATCTTCAATGTGTCAAGAGCAAATCCTTGTCAACCCAGAATTGTTTATCTAGTGAAACTATCATCCAAGAACAACGGTGAGATAAAGAACTTCCTCCTCACAAACATGAGCTGGGGAAGTTGACCACATGAGTGTTTTCCCAAGGGACACTCTAGTGGATGTATTACAGTTAAGGCCGTATGAAAATAATCCTAGAAGACAGTGTGAGAAATGAGAAGGAACGATGAGCCAAGAAAATGATGTAAGTGCAGGAGAGAGAGCCTGGATGAAGACGGATGACACAGAGCAATAATAATGGTGTCTTATCAGTGAAATCAAACAAAAGAAAGAAGGAAATGAAATACCAGTCAGTGATATAACCTGGGATGGGGCACTGGAGCTAGGGCTGCCGGATTTAGTGAAACAAAAACAAACAAAACCACTCACGGCCCTGGTTCAGTTTCAATGTCTGATAAACAAGTAGTTTTGTAGTGGAAGGATATCCACCTGGGTGCTCTGTGTCTACTCTGGCACCCTGGCACCCTAATTGGGGCTGGCCCAGTCCCGGCTTTGGTTTGCATAGAGGCGGGAGTCAGGACGCTGACTGTGTTGAGAATACATGCTCCAATTGTTGAAAATGACGAATGAAAAACAAGAAAATAGGTTGCATATCTTTGGACTCAGTAGAGGAAAAAACGGAATGCAGGAAACCCTCAACTACCCCAAGAGAAGGTGAGAAAAGAGAAAAAGGAAAGAGCTCCAGGAAATGGGGACAAACAAAGAATAAAGTAAGATGGTACAAAGGCATCTGAAAAAAGGGATCAAACTAACGGCAAATGACCCACGTTTCCACTTAAAGCACGGACCACTGGACAGGACATGAAAATAATACACTGCCCAGGCTTTTGCTGTTTATAGGAGACACATCTGAAACTTCCGGGGAAGGCTGAAAGTCACACAGGAAAACCGATGCTAGGCAGGCAAACCTGGCCAAAGGGCAGCTGGGGTCATAGCTCCAGTATCTGGCACAAAAGATGTAAGGGAAAGGCCATTACTGGATACACAGAAGGTTACTGTGATAAAACTTCAATTCATCACAAAAGGGCAAAATGATGTTAAATGTCTACATTTAGTAAAGCAGCTTTAAAATGTCTAAAAAGGGTGCAATGGAAAGAAGACAAGGGAGACTTCGTCATGTCTTTCTCAGACCCAGCAGACAATCGTCAGTCAGGAAAACCAAAACGTGAACAATACAATTAGCAAGCTCTGCTTAATGAACACAAATAGAACTCTGTGAAACAGACGGAGAAGACACATGATCCCAAACACATGTGGAATGTCTGTGGGCTGACCACGCACTGGCCCGTAAAGCGAGTCTCCACAAAAAAGTGAAGGCCAACCACGCTTCCTTTTCTTACCACAGTGCAATTTGTTAGAAATTGATAGCAAAGAGAGAACCATGAGTCCTTATGTTTGGAAATTAGAAAACACACCAACTCGTGGCTCAAAGAAGAACTCATAATAGAAATCAGGAAATGCTGAGAACCAAAAAATAATGAAAAGCGCTACCTATCACGATGCGAGACGTGGCTGAATGCCATGCTGGAGCCATTTACAGCCCTAACTGCATACATCAGGAAAGACTGAAACTAAATATTCAATGTAAGAAGTTAGCAAGAGAACACAGTGGTCCTAAAGCAAGAAGTAAAGAAATAGATGGAAAAGCAGACAAATAAATTCTGAGAAGAAAAAAGGATGCTGCAGCTGAAGATGGATTCTCAGAAGTGCCTGATTAAACTGACAAGCTCCGGCAGGACTGACGGAGGAAACCCAAGTTCGGGGGGCACACAGGGACGACCCCAGGGATGGAAGGGGGCCCTGGCTGCAGGCAGAGCAGAGATGTAAAAGGCAGGAAACTGGGGACACTTAACTCTTGCCAAGAAATCTGAAGAAATTTTGGTTGAAATGGAGACATTTCTGGTAAAATGTAACTAACTGCTCAAAATTAAGAAGGAATAGGAAACTTAAATGGACCTATTAAAGTCACTGAATCTGTAATTTAAAATTTTCACCCGAAGTAAACCTGTGGCCTAGGAGAGTCCTCCCAGTCAAGGAACAGATTACTCTGATCCTACCTCCACTCCTCCAGAGGACAGGTAGGAGAACACTCGTCCGGACCCAGCTATCACCCACCAGTCTGGAGGACAGTTCTCCGGGGGACCTTGGACCCACCCACCGGCCTGCAGGGCAGTTCTCCGGGGGGCCTTGGA